GTATTCGGCCTTTGCTTTGTTTTTAGACTAGTTTCCTGGCATGGCAGTCAGGCAGTACATAAGGTATTTAAGTGCAGGCCACCACTTGACCTTACAGAGTTAGTCTTCATGTCTTAAAAAATGCTGTTAGATAACTTATAATGGGAGTATTTCTTGCCATATACTTTACAACTCACAAATTCAGCAAACGTGTATTTCTTACCTACTGTTCTCACACAGTGATGTTAACAACAGCAATAACAAAAAACAGTAAGACAAGTCCCTTATCCGTAAGAGCTTGTATAAAGAAAAAAAAAGATACATGTGATATTTTGCAAGTGAGGAACATATTTCTAATGGAGAAACACGTATAGTAAAGCATCTTATACCTCTTTAATACTGAAGATAATGCAGATGGACTTTGAAATTGGTTATGTTGCTTGCCTTTAGTAGCCAACATGTTTCTAGCATACCTAAAGAGAGATTTGATCTTTTTCCCGAAGCACAACAAAATTGAGTTTCAAACATTCTAGTGATTAAAAGAAGTCTAAAGCCAATAATTCATTAATGAGATACATTAATGCAAAACAAATAGATATTGTATGGAAAACATCAGTGGTCTGAAAGTACTTTCATTTTCTGAATCTGTAATTTACTGAATTTTCATTTTATGAAATCTCATTAATTGGCAATTCTTGTCACAATAAAAGTAATAAAAATGAAGTTACAACCATTCACCAAACTGTATTTCTCATTTACATTTCATTTTAGACATACTTAAAATCCCAATTACACAATTGTATTTACTCTGATAATATCAAGAGTATCAAAAGGAAAGAAAATGCTTTATTTAAATATAATGTTAATTTATAACATACAGTAACCCCTCCACCATCCTCAGTTTCGCTTTCTGCAGTTTGTTACCCACAGTCAACCACAGTCCAAGAATACTAAATGGAAAATTCCAGAAATAGACAATTCATAAATTTTAAATTGTGCATCATTCTGAGTAGCATGATGAAATCTCTCTATATCTACACTACACAGGCTCCCGGACCATTAGACACTTAGTAGCCATCAGGGCGATCAGATGAACTATTGAGGTATCTCGGTGCTTGTGTTCAAGTCACTCTTATTGTACTTCATAAAGCACAAGAGTAGTGATGCTGGCAATTCAGATATGCCAAAGAGAAGCCATAAAGTGCTTCCTCTAAGTGAAAAGGTGACCGTTCTTGACCTAATGTGACAAGAAAAAAAATTATATGCTGAGGTCGCTAACCTCTATGGTAGGAATGAATCTTCTGTCTCAATCCGTTTTGCTGTTATAAAGAAAATACCTGAGGCTGGTAATTTATAAAGAAAAGAGGTTTATTTGGCTCACTATCCTACAGACTATACAAGAAGCATCGTGCCAGCATCTGCTTCTGGCGAGGGCTTCAGGAAGCTTCCAGTCAAGGCAGAAGGTGAAGGGGGAGCAAGCATGTCACATGGTGAGAAGCAAAGAACAGGAGGAGGAGGTGCCAAACTCCTTTAAACAACCAGCTCCTGAGTAAACTAATAAAGTGTAAACTCACTCTTTATCAAGGGGAGGGCACCAAGCCATTCATGAGGGATCCACCCTCATGACCCAAATACCTCCCACCAAGCCCCACATTCAACACTGGGAATCAAATTTCAACTTGAGATTTGGAAGGAACAAACATCCAAACCTTTATCATCCTCTATCAGTGAAATTGTGAAGAAGGGAAAAGTTTGTGCTAGTTTTGCTATCGTACCTCAAACTGCAAAAGTTATGGCCACAGTGCATAACAAACACTTTGTTAAGATAGAAAAGGCATTAAATTTGTGAATGGAAAACATGAACAGAAACGCATTCCAATTGACAGCAATCAAGTTCAGTACCATCCACGATTTGAGGCATCCACTGGGGTCTTGGAACATATCCCCCTCAAATAAGAGGGGAACTACTGTAGTTACACGGGACAAACGAAATCTTCCACAAGCTGAGCACAGGAGTTCAAGTATACATCCCAGAAAGTGGTTAGGCCTTCCCAGATAAAATAACCAAATCTTGGGGAATGCTCATAATCAACCAGAGTGGCCTGTATCTGTCCATTGAGTCCTCTGGAGCTGCAGCTGCCTCAACAAAGAGGAAAGAGGGCACAGCAGAGGGGCCACTGGCCTTTATCATCATGTTCAAAGTCATTGGTGCAGAACCAGACCTTTTATTTAGAGTGAGGGACTGTTCACTGGACCCTCCAAAAACTATTAATCCTGACTGGTACAGAACTATATACATACAAGTAATTACAAGTACAGGTATTAATACATAGATATTATCACATTTATTGGCCTTCCACATGTAAATGGAGCTTTCCCTGGAGTAATCTAAGCCCCCATCCTTCCAGAACTATAGTCTAAAGTCATCTTGTCATGAGGAAATGAGCATGACCTAACATAATACACCTGTTCTTACATTGGCTCTGTGATTTCATAGATTGATATATAGTTTATTATGAAACTTTCAGTTCATACTGGCTTGTAACTCATATGTCAATGTCCTCCAAAAATCAATGAAAGGCACATTCTCAATTTTTCCTATCTTCCTAATCAACTCATATCAAAGCATTAATTCAGTTGAGTGATCCTAAAGGAGGTGTTATAGCATCAAGGCTAATAGTTACTATTTCATACCAAGGTAAGTGGTATCCCATGACAATAGTTCTTACTAAGCATTAAAAGAAAACAAAAACAGATAACCAGGAACGTTGAGCTTTGGAAAGACTTCTGATTTGGGCAGATTATTCCATAAAAAGAACCCTTTCTAAATGAGATAATACTTATTACTTTTTTTTTTAAGATAAAATAAAATCTTTTATTTTTCTTATTCTTAATTGATCTAATAGATAACTGTTCAAAATAATAGTAACAATGTACCCACAGCTTATGAATAAGTGAAATGAATAACAGCAACGTTTTAAGGTGCAGGAATGAGAAACTGGAAATTCTGTGATAAGGTACCTATATTACCCATGAAGCAGTATAGTGTTTTATTAATTTTAATTGAATACAATCTACAATTACTATGAATTGTAGATATTTATGAGGTACAGTGTGATTTTGATTCATGTATACAATGTATAATGATCAAATCAGGGTAATTAGCATATTACATGAAACATTTATTATTTCTTTGTGTTGAGAGCATGAAAAATTTTCTATCTCGTTAAAAATATTCAATAAGTTATTCTTAACTATAGTCATCTACAGTGCTATAAAGCTTACTCCTCTTATCTAGCTGTAGTTTTAAATCTGGTAACCAACCTCTTCCTATTCCCCTCTCCCCACTCCCCTTCCCAGCCTCTAGTAATCACTATTCTACTGTCTACTTCTATGAGATCAACTAGAAACAGCTGTTACTTCTAATTTCAACTTCTGTCCATTTACCCAACAATTCAAACTATTGTTCATTGGTTCTCCAACAAAGTATCACTAAATTTTCCTCATTTATCTGACTCTAATGGCCAAAACAAGGCTCTCATTCCTATAGACCTCCAGGATTTAAACCCTCCCATGAAAAGAATCAACTACCAATGAGAGTCTGTGAAGTACTTGTGTTCAATTAAGTAGGTTATCAGCACCTACTCTTCAACAAGAATTTATATTGATCTGCAGCATTCCTTGTAAGCACAGAGCTATCTGGAAAACACAAACTATTGATAATCAAAAGTATCTGTATCAACTATAAAGTCAGATTAAAGGGCATTGGACGTGTTTAAGAAATATCAAATTATCACAAACAAGTTACTTCTCTATTTACAGATGAATTTCCTCTGTTAAACAAGGGAACTAGAAGAGATGATCTCTACAATCCCATCCAACTCCAACACACAGTGACTCTGACTCACAGGCTAAGCACAGTAGAGATACAAAACTATTGTAAGTAACAGGATCGATAAGTAATATACATCCAAGAGAATAAATAAAATTCAGTATACAAAGAAAGGCTAAAAGTCTCAGAAGCAACTTAGAAAGGGATAAGATCAATGAAGATAGAAAAGTTCTATAATTGCATAAGACTACTTTCTGTATGTGTAACTTTAGTTGAATCCTGAAAGATGGGAAGGATGTGGATAGGCAGGGAAGAGGAAGGAGAGTCTTCCAGATGGAAATAATAACATAAACTCAGAAAAGGGAAAATGAGCACAAACATAGCATCACTTTCGTTTCCCAAATAATCTATGCTATTTATTCTAAATTGCATTTATAATAGGCTAAACAGCCAATTTGTTTTTTTCTTTTTTTTAACATTTTTCAAGATTTTTAAAGGCTTTAATTGTTGAAAGACAGCTGATGATTTACCATTTTGTACACATAAAGGTTTTTCCAACATGGCAAACATGCCTTAATGTGCATTCACTCCATTATTAAAATGATGACTTTTTGTGACCATTTTGATATGTGATTCTACTACCTTAAGCACTAGGATCCCACTAGCTGCTTAAGATAGTAGGATCCACCTTCCACTAGCAATATTCTGAGGACTAATGGTATTCCTTTATATATCATCTAGAGTAATGTCATAACCAAAAAAAGGACTTGAAACAGATTTCAAATTGATGTCCATCTTGCTTTATAAATTACGATCTATAATAATAAAGAACATAAAGGAGCATCAATAAATTTTACAATGCAAGATTCAATTTAAAAATATATAGTCTAACTTCAACATTTTAAATTTAGAAAAATAAAAGCACATCAGTTGAAGATACAGTCTTAATTCATACCTTTATACTGTGTAAGATAAAACAAGGCTACTTTACTTATGATTACAAAGGATAATACCAAAAATATTTGAATAAATGTAACCTCCACTCTTGACCGTGTTAAATATTATCTTTTGGTGCTCACACATACTGCTTGTATAAATAAGGGAAAATATCATTTCATTAATAAATTCTATTTAAATATCAAGAATTACCATTTCTTTCGAGCCAATTGTTTCAAAAATGCACACTTACCCTGCATTATTGCTGACTGCAGTTAGTCCTTTTACTCCAGTCTTTAGTAAAGCTCCTATAAGATTCTCTGGAATTCCACATAGCCCAAAACCTATAATAAGCCCATAAGATAAATAATTTATAAAGTGGGGAATAACGTTCTTTCAGAGAAACATACGGTATTCTTTTTTAACAAAAAAGACAAAGTTATCAGATCTACTAAGCAAAACACACAGATATATATCAGCAACTCAAATGGTCAAATAGCTTTATCCAAATGTTTTGCACCAGACATCACTGTCTTTGAACCGTAAGTATAAAGCCAAGTGCACCAGTTTATATGGCTACACATTGCTCACCTTGCACTCAACTACAAGTCTATTATTGTACCGCTTTATAACTCAACCTTTATAAAGTTACTTTTTCAAGCACATTTTATATGTCTGAGTTGTGTCTGAGTTTTACGTAGATTTTTGCAGACCTGGATGCCCACGCCAGCAACTTTCATTCATTTACAGCTTCCATAAATCCTCAAATAATGTTGGTTTTAAAATAAACGTTCAATAACTTGTTAGTTGAATGAATAGAGAACAGCTCAAAAAATAAGTTTTGATCCCATTTTAAGAATCATGCAGCAAGTTTAATGAGTGGAGGTAGTGGTTCTAAAAGACATTCCAAACAAGAAGCAGCAATAAAATGGGGGGGGGGGTGCGTAGGAGACAACAGCTAGATGCCTGCAAGTTCTCTCTCATAAAGTAAGGAGTGATAGAAGTTGTGGCTAAGTATAAACTGATAAGATCAATGTAAACATTTTAACTTAAATAGAATTCCCAAAGATCTAGGAATTTTTCAAAGCTATTGACATCACCACTTTGAAGCTCTAGTTTTTCAAAATAATAGGAAAAAAAAAAACATAAAAAGAAAGAAAAGTAAAATATTAGTACTAAGCCTTATTGAACTTGCAGGAAGGAAACACTGTAATAAAATAAAAGACAATATAATATGTAATAAACATAATGAATAGACTATAACTAATAACTAAATAATAAAATAATTGGCATTTTTAATCTACTTGTCATTGTGATTTCCCTGCTTCACTAAAAGCATATGGACGTTACCATAAAAAGGGAAACAATATTATTACTCACCACCAACCAGAATTGTTGCACCATTGGGAATGTCTTTTATAGCTTCCACTGGATCTGTATAAAATTTGGTATGGCAACGAGTACTTGTAGAAAAGTAGCAAACACATCCCTGAAACATTAATAGATAGTTTTAAGTGAATAATCATTTTGAAATGCAGATTTGCTTTGTGTATATAGCAATTTATTCGGTTTTTGAATGTACAATAATTTCATTATCCCTTTTCACATGTATTTTATGTTTTTAATTGATAAGGTAAAATTGTATATATTTATGGTATACAACATGACATTTTGATATATATACAATAGTCCCCCCTTATCCACAGTTTCACTTTCTGAGGTTTCAGTTACCCAGGGTGAGCATACTACAATAAGATTCTGAGAGAGAAAGGGTGTACACTCACATAATTTTTATTACAGTATATTGTTATAATTGTTTTATTTTATGATTAGTTATTGCTGTTAATCTCTTACTGTGCCTAATTTATAAATTAAACTGAACCACAGGTATACATGTATAGGAGAAAACAGTATACATAGGGTACAGGACTACCCACAGTTTCAGGCATCCACTGGGGGTCCCCCTCAGATAAGGGGGGGCTACTGTACACCCGTGGAATGGCTAACTCAAACTAATTAACATATGTGTTACCCCACATAATTGTTTTGTGGTGAGAACACTTATAATCAACTCTCTTAGCAATTTTCAAGTATTCAATATGTTGTTATTAACTGTAGTCAACATGATGCACAACAGATCTCGTACATAAACCAGTATCTCCCCCACCCTCTAACCCCTGCCTCTGGTAACCATCATTTTACACTTTGTTTCTATAACACTATCCCCTCTTTAAAAGACTGCAGCTTTAAGTGGTTTATCCTTAAAAATAAAATGAACATACTCTATCTACAGATTGTCACTGGAGTCCCCTTGTGATCAATGTCCTCTGTAACATAAAGGAAAGCTCTAATTGTGTCATCTGTGGGCATCCAAAAGAATGAAAGTAGACAGTATATATACTGGGATTCAAATTCACTTGGCCAAGTTGGGCTGCCTGGCCACTGCCGTTCCCCTTGCCAAAGGAGCTGCTGAGACCCACCAAGCATCAAAGTTTATGGGTCTGTAAGAAAGGAACAAACGTTTACCTAGAAGAAAGGCATGGCCAACCTTACAACAGTTTACTACTGGGTCCCAAATAAGTCATCTAGTGAATATTCACAATCAGTTATAAATTTTTTCCCTCTTTATACTTCATCTACAACATAGATAAGAGAAAATGAGAAAGCAGATTCTATGGCAATCACTCACTCATACTCAGCATCACCTCTCCTTTATTCCCATTGTATATTCAACCTAAAAAGAGAAGGAGTAGGGAGAATAACATCTGAATCCTCATATACTGCCACCTTAACAAGCCCGATTGTAAGCTCACACCACCAGCCTAATAGGGTCTCCCAGACAGACACAACCTGAGGAGGTCAAAGTAACAGCATAACAAGTACCCGTCATTCTTTTCTTCTTCTAAAAACTCCTTGCACGAAAAGTGCCAATTAATACAAAAGATTATTTAAGGGAACTATACTGAGAGAAAGTCAAATGAGAGTTGCAAAGGTAGAGGTTACACAGATGGCTTTCGTCCCTCTAAATGTCTACCTTGGTCAAGGTCAGGTGAGGAGGGTGGAATAAGCTAGCTGCTAGCACATGGCCCAAACTCGGGGAAATAAGTCTAATCAGAGATAGAAAGGAAAGTGTTTGAGCTACAAAGAACTTTTCTCTCTTTCCTACCCACAAGTAGCAAGCATTTGTTTGCTTCTGTTTTAAACATATACACCCGAAAAATTTTTAGTCCTAGAAATTACAAGTTTGATAGCCTGAATAAATAGGCCAACAGACGTGTTAGGTAGATAGTGAAGGATTCCAGATCTCCTAGGGACAAAAGTGGGTGCTATTGCCCCCATCTTGGTCCTGCCAACTCTAATTCTCCATACTTGGGGCAGCGAGGAATATCCTACAAATCTGTCAATCAGAAGTTGGTGCGCCAGCTGCAAAAGAATGCAGCGGATGATGCTCCAGCCACGGCCAAGCAGCACAGTACCATAAAGTCTGGGCGGTGACCTAGAGCTCACATGTGCACTAAGACCCAGGTCATTTATGCAGCTCCCCAACTGTCCAGTCAAAATGGTTTTATGGTGACATTTGAACCATGAGGGAGGTCCCTATCCAGGCTATATAAAACAAGACACAACCATAGCCAACCCCTTTTTGCAACCTTCCTTTAGCTCTCCCTTTACTGCGACAGTAGGTCTGGTTGTCATCTGTGATGTATGTATCATGCTCTGTAAACCTATATCTTGCTCTTGCCCTATAATCTTATTTTTCTTTCCTCAATAAACCTCATTTTTGTGCTTGCCTAACTTTGGTGTGTCTGGTCATTTTTCAGCCATTAGCGCACCAAGAACCGACATTTCAGACTAAAACCTGACATATTGTCTGTAAAATAAAGTTAAGGATATCTCCTAGAAAAAAATAGGAAAATATAGATATCTAATCCAACCAACTCATTTTACAGGTCCAGTTTCTGAAGCTTAGAAAGATCTTGGAAGTTTAGCCTTCTGTCTCAGGGTCTTTCCATCACAGTAAGCTCCTCTCCGTGTTTTCTGAAAGCCCTGTCATATTATACTTCTACTTTATTATTTATATACAACAGATCATTCTGAGCATCCTATTTTTTCATGCATAACACTGCTGTCATTTTCTCCACCTAAGAGTAAAGAGTCAGGGCCTTAGCGGGAAGAGGAAAAAAATTAAAGAGTTTGTCTACACCTAAACAGTCTCGGGGGTGAGGTCATCCTGAACTATTTCTAGGTAGACTGAAAAACACAAATCCCATCATAGAGAGGAAGTTAAAAGAAAACTCAGTTCCCCTATATACTCATAGAGGTTTTTTAGATTCATGAAGAACAAAAGCACATAACCATAGACTTGTCAGGAATTCCATTCCTTTATTTCACACGATAATTAGTGCTTTCACTGAAAACATTCTGAAATTACTGAGGAGCTTGCCCCACTCCCCCCAAAAAAATACACCTTAGAAGTGTTTTAGAAAAGCACAGTTCACCCAGATAAACAACAGTTAAAAGCAGTAACAGTGACCACGTTTTCCAGGGAATGTGAAAAGGGCTCAAGATAATGAAGAACTTGCAGATAATAAAGAGCTCTTTTTCATTATTCATACATTCAGTTAATATTTGTTGACGTTTGTTATCTGTTATACACATGTGACACCTATAATATTTACTGAGAAATCAACTTTGACTATGACAGATTTTATCCCAAGGAAACTTTGGGAAACAGTGTGGCATAAAAGCCTACACTCTTGGGGTCAAAAATACCTTTGTTTCAAATTCCAGCCCAACCACAATTGCATGAACCTGAGAAAATTACTTAACCACTGCATCTTTTTTGGGGGGTGGGAGAAAGGACTTTATTTTAAATTTACAAAAAAAAAAATGACAATTGTTTCCCAAGGATGTAGTAAGGATTAAATAACGATATATACAGAAGCTCTGTGCCTGGACTACAGAAGATACCCAGGGGGCGTCAGCTTCCTTTGGTGAATGCAGCCTTTTCTCCCTTCCCCACCAGGGCAATAAGATCAACTTGTCAATTTACTGGAATTTAGTTTTAATTTTTAACCTCCCCACTCCACCCTATACATACATCGCTGATTCTATAAAAAAATCTTTTTAATATGACCCATACTGTAGCAAATTGAGCCAAGTGGTCTTTGTTGAGAGCTTTCAAAATAAATAAATAAATAAAATAAAATAACACCAGGCACCAGGTCTTAGCTTTAAGATTATTTTAACATGTTTATTTTATCTGCAATCAAATTTGCCAATCTGGGTATTCAGAGACTGTTAGGCAAACCAACAGTGTGAATACAGGCAGTGGGGCAAAGAGGAAACAGGGTGTCTGAGGCTAGCTGTGTCACTGGGGATCTTCAATGCCCAAAACCCTGAGAGCTGCTTAGAGCTTTTGGGTTTGTTCTCTTAACTGGCTTCCTCCCTGCCCACACTCCGTGTCTCGGGGAGTCAAGGAGTATCCCTGTCACCACCAACACCTTCTACGATTAGGCAGCTGGGGGGAAAGAAAAATGTCTCATACATCTACTTTATTTTCTTAGATAACTGAATTCAAAGAGGAGCTTTAAGCTGCTCATTAATTGACCTCTACCTTCTCATGTATTTTAGACACTAGCACAATGATGTGAAAAGACAGGGGCACCAGCTGCTATCGAAATAAATAAATAACCTTCAGGTTTGCAGAGATTACCTAAAGGAATGAAGTAATTAATAAACAGCTTCAACATCTATTTATTCTGGGGATAATTTTTTTCACCCAGATCTTCCTTTATATTCACATAAAGTGTTTTGTTTTCCACTTTCCTACCTGCAGCAGAATTCCATTTTATTGTTGCTACTAGTTTCTGCTTTATAATAGGGGGAGTGAAATGATAATGAGTACTGAAGTGCAAGAAATACTCAAAATTCCTACAGTACAGAATTTTTTATACTTCATCTTCTTCTCCTTTAAAAATCCTGTCCACTTTGACCATGTCCTCTCCTTCAAATGCTTGCACTTAACTTCTGAAGTCTTATTCCACTGTTGAACCTAAATTTTATCTCATGACTTCCTAATTCATAATTTCCTTCCTTTCTAACCACTTCCACCATTACTGCGTCTTTTTCCTGTCACTCAACACTGAAGAATTAATGGAAATGCACTTCTTTTTGACAATCTTTTAGTGAAAATCCACAAAGCATATTGTTTTTTTTTAAATTTTTTAAATAGATTTTATCTTAATGATACAGAACTGTACCCAGGTGATATTTACTTTGTCATCTTATAGTTAAATAAATCAGGACACAGAAAGGTCAATATTGCCCACTTCAGCATCAGAGTTTGATAAACACAAGTGGGAAGGAGAAGCCATGTGAAGAGATTCATGTAGAAGGAAAAGGCAGTAATATGCAGGTGGATACACATGCTTACATACCTGTAAGAGTTGGTGATGTGTGTTGAAATGCTTTAGCAGCAGTGGACCAGTATCTACCAAAGGTGGAATGTTCATCTTGAACTAAACACTGCCAATTATGCTCTTGTGACACAATAAATCTCAAGGGGCTCACGGAGAGTTACTGACACTAGGCAATTCTCTACAGCAGTGGTGTGCTTTGCTTAAGAGAACACACATATTCTACTCCAATGCTGGAGGGATACTCAGTACTCTAAATCAACACAGATAAAGGAGTGACTCATTCTGCCTGGTGGATCAGAAAGTTTGAGGAGTTTGCCAGGAATTAAAATACTTATCGGGATAAGGATTACACACTGGGGAACTGCATAAGTAACGATACAGAGATAAGAAGTCTTTGTGTGGTCAGGGATGTGTGGGATCAGGTCTCATGGAGAGAAGTTCATGAAGATCATGCAGGAGAGGCAGATTGGGGCAATTTGTAAAAGGCTTTGGAGTTTCAACTTCATCCTTCAATGAGGAAAGGACAGCAAAGCTTTTGAAACAGAGAGATCTCATAACTTTCAGAAGAAAGCCTGAATCAGGAAAGTACAGGGGAACTCACTCTTTTCTTCCTTCATGCGCTTGTTCAAAAATAACTATTTTGTACCAACTATACTAAATACTGGGGATACTGAGTTAAAACATAATTTTTTAAAAAACCATAGGCATAGTCCCGGCTATGACAAAACTTACAGAGTGTCAAGAATAATAGTCACTAAATAATTACAAAAATTTAAACAAAATTATAATATTCAGTTGGGGAGCTATAAGAAAGAGTGCCAGGAAGAGCACAAAGGAACACTTCAGAAAGAGTGCACATGTGACACTCGCTGATCAACTCGAAGTGCAGAAAGGAGAGGACGGTTGCAAAGTTTACAGCTTGTACAGTGGATAGATACCGGCACTGTTAACCATAATAAAATAAGAACAAAACAAGGAAGGAAAAATCTACTTTATAACCAATTCATTTTGGGTCAGAAAGAGCCTTAAGTGCTGAGTGGCATTCAGGTGAACTTGACCAGTTAAGCTGCACCAGAAGTTGTACAGGAAGGACTGCAACTCAGGAGAGTCTGGGTTGGAGAGAGATTTGGAAAAAGACTCTTTCAAGGAAGAAGTGCATAAAGTGTTCATGGTAATTGAGGAAAAAAGATACCTTCAGATAATCTATTCTAAGTCCATGCCAGTAGCTCTAAAACTGCAGAACGCAGACCAGCAGCATCATCACCTGAAACTTATTAATGCAAAGTATGGGGTCCCACTCAGGACTTACTAAATTAGAAGCTCTGGGAGTAGGCACAGCAATCTGTTTATAAAGCCTCCAGGTAAGTCTGATTCACACTCAAATCTGAAAGCTTGCCTATCATAAATATTTTTTAAAATAACTATCTCGTTTTACCTGTTGGTTATATTTAGCAGGAAAACCTCCCGAGGTTACTACTTGTTTGCCTGCAGAGTTCTCCCATCCACACATTAAACACGTGTTAAATATCTAATCCATGCAGAGCAAAGTGTGATGTTGGGGGAGACAGACACTAAAGCTTACAATACGGTACCTGCCAACAAGAAACTCTGACCTGATTGAGAAGACAATGTACACATTTGAAAAGTTAAACAACTACACAAGTAGTACAGTTCAACAGAAGTAGCAGGTGAGGATTTAAGTGCTAAGTAAACAATAAAGACGACGACAAGTGCCATGAGCTGGGAGAACACTGGAAAGCAGGAATTAGACCTACGATAAACCTGAAAGGCCAAAGTTAGAACTGTGGTATGAACTTTCAACAACAGCAAAACCCCTAGTTTGTAGCTCATTCCTCTAAAAAGAGGTTTTCTGAGCTTCAGAAATAGTTTAATGATATACTCCAGGTGAGAAAGACTAAAAGTAAATTCCAGTTGGGCAAATAAGTAACTGCCAAAAGAGGGAAAGTGAACGATCTGGGCCCAAGGGTATTGCTGTGCTCTGGTATGCATCAGCCCAGAGGATCTGACTGAAGGTCAAGTTCTCTTTTAGTGTCCTTTATATTAATATATCCAAAGCTATCTGCATTATCAAAATGCTTCCTAAGCAGCATTGAAGAGTAAACTGGTCCAGTTCTGAACCATTCATTCCCTAGCACTCACCGGAGGAGCTCAGGGGCTCCTCTGTGTTCTCAGCTCTTCAGGGATTGGATGCAGGAAAGAAAAGAGCAGTGGGGCGGGCAGGAGTTCTCCGGAAGTGTGCATGGCACACTGTCAAGCTCAGAACTATTATTCAATACCAAGGAAGAGGCTCCCTCGATTACTCAGGTGGCCGGGGTAAAGACCCGGTTCTCTGGCCCAGTACTCCGTTCCTAGGACTGCCGACAGGAACCCCGTCGGAGCGTGGGCTTACCGACAGTGCGTAGGACAAAAACACACATCAACCAGCAATCAACGCGGAGAGTGCCTCCGGCTACCACTTGGTGGAGAGTTAGGAGTAGGGCTGAACACGATTTTCAAAGGGCTTGAAAAACCCCTAACCCGGGTCCGAGAATCCTCGAGAGAAGGGGCATCCGCGAGCAAACCATGGACAGACCTCGATTTATTTCCCAGCCTGGCCAGCAAAACGCCCAGGCGAGCGCTCCCGTCCGCGGTGCAGCACAACCAAATAGGAGGGGAGAAGATGGAAAGCGGCTTTCCGCCCCCGCCGCGCCCAGCACCCGCCCCCTTGGCGGTGAACCCGCGCCGAGCAGTGGCTAATCGCCCTGGGTTCTGGGCCTCTAGAAGCACCTAGACCCCAAGATCCCCCATGGATGGTGAGGGGCGCAAACCTGCCCTCTGCTGCCTTCACCCCTTCCCCACCATAAACTGGAGCCCTACCCGCGTTCCGGCTGCCAGAGACCCTTCCCCTGGGCGGGCGCTGCAAGGACTGGAGGCTGCCGGCACCGTGGAGACACGGGCATGCCCCCAAGGGCGCAGCAAAGCTGTCAGGCGTCCTCCCGCCCCTGCTCAGCCTCTCCGCGCGCTTCTTTGCCGCGTTGCGTCCTATCGGGGCAGGCGGTCATCCGTAGGGGCGGCTACGCCAGGAACGCGTCGGCGCGCCTCCGTGCACGGGGCATCGCGACGGATGCCAGATCCCAGGCTGGCGAGGATGGTTATGGACAGAGGAGAAAACGCGAACACTCGGGGTTTCGTCCGCGTTCTTACCACGCGTGCCTTCCTCTTCTCGTGCACCTTACCTTGGACCAGGCGCCCCCGGAGCCGCGGGCGGAGGCGCAGAGCCGTAGCCTGGAGAGGAGTTTTAGGGCCGCCATCTTCGGGAGCCGGCTGCGGGAGGACGCCGCGGGCTGGAGGGTGCGTCTGAGCGTATCAGTGTGCTCTGCTCTGACCGACGCCGAGTCTCTGGGCCGGGAAGGCGCGCCGGGGGCGGGCTGGAGGCTCGACCCTGCGTCGGTGACGTCCTCGAGACTTCGCGTGCTGCGCGCCCGCAGCCAACTGCCGTCTGCTGGTTTATAAATAAGTGAGGCTGGGAGGGGCCCGCGGCGGCTAGCGGAGGTTCTTCGCGCGGCCTGAGCGAGTCGTGAAGGTTCCCAGCCCCGCGGCGCTGGTCGCTCTCTCCCGGGTCTCTGCCTGCACTTGCAGCCGCAGCCCCTAGGCCAGCCCTTCAGCTTTGATGGGGCGCAAGTGTCTGTCTTCCCCTAGGTCAGCGATGAGCCTTGGCCTAGAGTTCAGGGCCCAGAGGGTGCTCCGCGGGGCTTGTTGCTTTCCCAAGTTGTTGTGTAGCAAGTGTGTGGGCTGCCTAGGGGCATCTCCTTAGAACCCCCTGCTTTTCTTACCGCGCTCTCATTTCTAACATTTCTCAGCCCCTTCCCCCCAACACCTGGCCTAGGCTTACGTAGAGTAAGTTTGCTGTAAGAACCTGCCATGAGCTATCTGCCAGGAGGTGTGACCAGCCAGGCCTGCAGAGGGACAAGATTAGCACTGGACCTCTGTGACCAGAGTTTAGCACACCTCCCGCTTCTTCCCCATCATCCAAGCATGCGTGTTTCAGAATCTTTCTGACACTGGCGACCCAGCAACCCCAGAGATTATTCAGCAGATGTGAACATAAAGGTGTATATCCCTTTGACCTTACATGGCAAAGTTGCATGACTTTGGCAAGCCTCAGTGTCCTCATCTGCAAGTTAGGATTGCTTATAATGTTAAAAACTGTCAAAAGGTTTATGTTTATATGAGATAATTCATGCAAACGTAGCCCCATTATGAGCACGCAATAAATGTTAGGCACTGTTGTAAATTTGTTCCAGTTGCAGTGGTGGATTGGCATGGCTCATACATACTCTCCAAGCCTTATCTTTTGTCCAGCTCTTTGAGGACATGAGCCAAGTCCGATTTCTTCAGAACCATTCAGACTAGGTAGAAGCTCAATAACATTTTATTTAATTAAGGGCTGACCAATTCCTGAGAATGTGGCTGTTAGTTTTGAACTAAAGCAAAGCATACAAGAAAATTAAATGAGATCTTAGCTTCCTTAGCAAAGACACTAAGGCAATAAACAGCACAGTTTAAAATCTGTCCATAAAACCATTCGCCCTTTTATGGTATTCTTTTAACTTTGAACTCTTTCTTTTTCCCTGTGAATATTATAATTTTAGTCAAAATAAATGAGGGAATAAAATACCAAGTTATACTATTCAATTACATAAGAGAAATTATTTCAACACATTTTAAGAAGTTGGATTGAGGGGAAATTCAAGTTTTAGAACTGAAGTCCCATAACTAGTGCTAATTCAGCATATAGCAGCTGCTGTACTGCACCTTACAGAATGTGAAAAAGCTAACATTCCTATTGGATCTGGTTTTCCACTTTTGCCTTTGTCCCTCTTCTACGGAGCACGTGAAATGGAAAAATTGCATTGGCAACTTTGTCAATGGTCACATGATTCACTCTTGGCTGGTCTCACTCTGTTGCTCCTGGCTGGGGAAGACAGACATTTTAAGTCTTGTATTCTGTGTGACTAAGTCTGTCATGAAAAAAATCAGCCTCATTACTGTATGGCCAAACACACTGCAATGTATTTTTGATGACTATGACCATTTTATACTTTTAAAATAATGTATGAATATCTTCAACTTGAACGAATTACAAAAAAGTTCTTGTGTACAGATTTCCCTTCTAGTTCCACAAAGCCATTTCAATTTTAATCTGTTTGTAAAATTCTTCTTTTAAATATCTCAACTTTTCTGAACAAGTAAGAACGTTTCCCTGTTGCTTTGAAGGGCAGTTTGTGGCAAATGTATCATATTCTGGAAATTTTTCCTTTTAAAATCTTGTAGAGCTTAACTTCCATACTGTTAAAAACTGGGAGAATTGAATTCAAAGCCTTTAATTTTTTTGTAGAGACATGGTCTCACTGTGTTGCCCAGGCTGGTTTGAAACTCCTGGCCTCAAGTGATCCTTCTCCTCAGTTTCCCAAAGTGCTAGGATTATGGGTCTGTCCATAAAAGCATTTGCCATTTTATGGTATTCTTTTAACTCTGAACTCTTTCTTAAGCCACAGTGCCTGGCGTAAGTTCAAAACATTTAAACAAAAGGTCTGATTCCAGACAAGCAATGAGGAAGGTTTATTTTATATCATGTTATAACTTGAGTGTGTATGTATGTGTATATGTGTATACTCATGTGCCACATAACGATGTTTTGCTCAACAATGGACTGCATGTATGATGATGGTCCTATAAGAATATAATAACATAATTTTACTATAGCTTTTCTATGTTTAGTTGTTTAGATACACAAATATTTACCATTATGTTATAAATTGCCTATAATTTTTAGTACAGTAATATATTGTACAGGTTTATATTAATAGCTTAGGAGCAGTAGGCCATACCATATAGCCTAGGTGTGTAGTAGGCTACACCATCTAAGTTTGTGTAAGTACACTCTATTATATTCACACGATGACAAAAACACCTAATATCGCATTTCTCAGAATCTCCATCATTGAACAACACATGAGTGTATGTTTGGCACCTTTTTATCAGATAAATGCAGACAAGGTGTCAGAGTTGATTAGATTGTAAATCATCATTCTCTGTTTGAGGAATTTCATTTTAATTCTCCTAAAATATCATGCATTAGCATCTCTCATTATTGAAAGAAAGGACATCCTGCCCTCACAGATGACTGTACTTTCCCAGGTTGATAATCAGGGACATTTGAAGACTTGTTTCGCAAATGTTGTTTGACTGGCTTAACTAGTAATAAGAATTTTTAATTAGGTCATTTGAGTCAACATGAAATGCATGCATGCCTCATTTTATAACAATCGTCTTTTAATATATGGAGAACAAATTCCTTCAAATGAGTTTCCTCTAGTAGGTTTGAAAAACATAAATCTGAAAGTTTACATAAATCTGTAAATCTGTTGTTTTGTAATGAGAATCATCATCCCTTAATTTGTCTACTTTTAAAGCTTTTTTCATAGATCCTTTGAAGCATTCCCTTGTATTAACAAATATGTATTTAATATTTGTTCAATAAATAGATAAAAAAATAAATTGAATTTTTCTTAAAGTGTGGTTTTCTCAGGAAAAAAAAAAATAAAATACATGCATGAGATAGAGAAAGCTCAACTCCTGGGATGAAAATGAAAATTACGCTAAGGTACTGAGGAAACTTGAAGAAACAAAACATGCCAGAATGAACTTGTATGCATTCAAGTCTGATCATGTTACTTCTGCTTAAAACCTTTCCGTGGTTTTCCCCACTGCGTTCGAGATCCAAAGTCCACAATTCATAACATGGCATAGAAGGGGATCATCTCTCCTAGTGTTCCTCTCCCCCACACATCTTTTTTATATTCCAAACTATATGTGCCTCTTGATTTTTACATGATGAATTTGCACAATCTCAGATCAACTGTTAATAGCAAGTTGATACATGGATTATGTAGCCATGCTGCTATGGTTCAAATCTCAGCTCTGCTATTCTCTAGCTATGTGGCCTCCTGTGGTGCAAAGAAGAGCTTGTAGAATACCAAGATATGAGGTGATATCTAGACCAGTATCTGTTTGTATTATTCAGGTGTAAAAAGTGTATACCTTGTGAATTTATTTATTTTCTCAAATGCTCCTTTAGTCTGTTCTTGTTGCCGTAATAAAATACCGTGGACTAGATAAGTTATAAACAGAAATGTATTTCTCACAGTTATGGAGGCTAGAAAGTCCAAGATCAAGACACCAGCAGATTACATGTGTTAAAATTAAATTGGCCTAAAGCTGCCTCCATATTTTGAATACCTACATATTGAACTGCAATGTAACTTAATATGTAAACAAACTACAGCCTAACTTAAGTGTATATTCTTGTAACACTGGTAACAAATAACTGAGTCTCAGCCAATTACAGATTGTCAACTGATCAGACCACATCCACATAAGGCAAATGCCTCACCACATCGTGTCCAGATAAGGCAAATGCCAAGCTATAACCAATCAAGCTGTTTCTATAAATCACTTCCATTTTCTGTCTATAAATAATGCCTGGCTACATGGCTGGGTGGAGCTCTCTGAACTTCTACTGGTTCAGAGTGATGCCCAATTCATGAATTGTTCTTTGCTCAAATAAACTCTCCTAAATTTAATCTGTCTAAAGTTTTTCTTTTAACAAGTGTCTCTGAGGACCTGTTTCTTATAGATGGTGGCTTCTCTATGCCCTCCCATGGCAGAAGATGCAGAAGGGATAAACGGCAACCTTGCACCTCTTTCGTAAGGGTACCAATGTCATCGATGCTGTTGTCGAAATCAAAAGGGGGTTTCAATCTAGGTCCAGTTACTTGTCACACAAAGATCCAATTATTGAGACAAGGAAGATTGCCAAGGAAGAAAGGAATTTTTTAATATGATAGATGTTTTGTATGGAGAATGGGAGAATCTGCCTCAAATCCATCTCTCTGACTAAGGGAGATCATGGGCTTTTAAAGGAGGGGCCACATGCCTTGGGGCAGATTGTGGTGTAACTAAAAAGGAGCTAAGTGCATTGAGGGAAGGTTGTAGGGGATGGTGAATCTTGTCAGGAAGCCTGTCCAGGGACGTTTAGAATATCAGCTCCTGTTGTGTTGCAGAAAATCCACCATTTCTGGGAAACAACTCAAAAAGTCAAGTAGTTAAGGGAGTGGATTATACGGAGGTCATTGAAATTTGTTCAGTGGGGGGCTGGTTATAAGGCCTTCCACCCTCATGACTTAATCATCTCCCAAAAGCCTCACCTTTTAATACTGTCAGTGGTAATTAACTTTCAATATTTGAATTTTAGAGGGCACACATTCAAACTATAGCAATGCTTTCTATATTT